AAGAAGAAAGGAATGTACCCATACACCCAAGCTAGCCTCCAAACCTTGCAAGATATTGTTTTTGTGTTCAGTCGCCAAAAGATGTTATTCCCTTTGCGTTTTAGCATTAAATAGGTCAAAAATGTCAAATCAACAAAAGTGGCACTTAGCGCCCAAGTGCCAACCTTGCAAACTAAATTGCGCTCAATGCCCTAGATGGGGCACTGAAGCGCCAACTTTGCGAACTTAATGGTGCTCAGCGCCCTAGATGGGGCGCGCAGGCGGAAGCTTTGCAAGGTAATTGGTGCTCAATGCCTAGAGATAGGGCGTTCATACGTGATCTTTGCGAGCCATCTGGCGCTCAAGGCCCTTAGAAGGGTGCCCAAGCATGATTCTGAACTTCATGGGTTCTTGCTTTTGATGTTCTTTGTGCTTTTCCTATGTGTTAGTGCCTTGATTTGGTGGAGGTTCTTCCAAAGCATAGAACTAACCTACATAATAAGGGGATTAGTGATGAAATCTACTAAGTGTAGCCTAAAATATAATTATTTACAAAAGCAAGATAAAAGAGAGGATTAAACAAGTTTCAAGGTAGAAAATAGTTAATTTTTCCAAGAAAATGAGGCTTAGATAAATGTAAGAATTAGCATTATCACTACCAAGTTCAATATAATTATTTCAAAGCAAGTTTTCAATGATTTCTTAGAATTGGATGTGTGAGGGGATTAAAATGAGATGTGAGTATCCAAAATTATAAAGAAACACGACATGAATATTTTCTTAGACCTAGGTTTTCTTAATTTTGTGCCTAAATGCAAAATTAGAAATTGTTTGATGAAATGCCTTTGTGAAACCCTAGGTTTCACCAAGAGTTTGATTAAGTGCTTGAATGAACTAACCTAAAACTTATGTAATACAAATTATCTGAAAAATTTTCTATATGATATCCTGTACTAAATGAATGTTCTTTTAACAAAATTATTTTTCACATATATAACACTTTATAATATGGTTATTTCATTTATTATTACTTGTTAAACTTCAAAACATATGAAAAAGTGAGACAATCTAGTCTTATAAACAATTTTTTCTTAATACTTCTACGTCTTCAAACATCACAAGCATCCATTCATCATGCATTACAACATTTGCCCATATCATTCTGACCAAACATGTATATGAGACTCATTTCTAGAAGACTAGATGCATGGAACTAGACAACTAAGATCTTATACTTGCTAGAAACACATCCATGCAACAAGATATAAGAGTAATAACCTTACCCACATGGTTATGTTGCACCAAAATTGGGAGAGTCACCCACCCATATCCCTTTTGACAAAGTAAATTTCATATAAAAATAAAATAAAATATTTTTTTATTGTCCTTAAAAATAAAATATGTCAATGTTTTTCAATGAACCAACTATTTACTCTTTCGTTTATAAATAATTATTCTAATAAAAAGTTGTAAGTTTTAAATCGAAAACAAAAAATTCGATGAACTCTCTTTACTCAAAATTAATAACTGCTAGGGCTAAAGTAATTTTATTCCTTGATCATAAAAGTTAATATTTTATTTATAAGCGTAATTGTCTATTATATGAAATATTAGAAAGTATTCCAATTACAAAGGATAATAATAAAATACAAAAATAACAACCAAATATAAATCTCTTATCTTTTGTTAAAATATTTCCTCGATTACAATATGGTTAATTAAATCAAAATTTCTTTAAGCTCGATATCTGAATCTATAGACCTTATAGATCAGTCTTTGGATGCTTATCCAGCTTTAAATAGCGAGTCGAGCTTCCGAACAATAATCAATTATTAATAATTTATTATAAATAAGAATGGTTTACATCACTTTATATTTAGACTCTTAGAGCAACAGAATAAATTTTTTAACATGATAGCAACTAAATTTTTTAACCAGAATCACTGAACTATAACCAATATGGCCCCTACTCTTACAAACCTGATCTAAATGCATTGCAAAAAGATTTGTATATTACTTACATGATGAATAAAAAAAAGATTCCACTTAGCTTCCTCTTCTTTTTTGTCATAAGTCATAATCCCATATGAACTTTATTAGTACGAATCCAACTAGAGATACAAGGGACATAAGGAAAGGACACATGACAACAATAGTTGAAAGCTATTTCTTTTTACACTTTCGTAATTTCAACATCCACTCCCATAAACTTTTATGTGTTGGAATCTATGCTTTTTCCAGAATAAAAAAATTGTATTTTAAAACATAAAATAAAAATATATTCCTAATTGTATATTGCAAAATATAAAATTTTACAGTAACACAAATTTATGGAGTTGCAAAAAATTATGGAAGTATAAAAAGAAAGATAATTATATTTGACAATATTTTTTTAACAACATTTTAAAATAGTTACATGTCATTTTGTGATTTTTTCAAAATTATTCTACAATTAATAATAATAATCATAAACACCAACCTGAACCAATCACAAAATGACATACAATAGTATTAAAATATTGTCAAAAAATATTGTCAAAGTATCATTATCAAAAAGGAAACTAAACACTTATAGAGCAACTTGGAGATGAACAAATAAAAGAGGGCAGTTTCTTCCTGCACTTTCGTGTAAAAGAAACTTCTCGTTTTTTCCTCTGTAGACTGTGCCATCCAAAAATAAAATGACTTTTAGATTGCATCGTTCATAAATTTTCTGGATTGCACAAAGTTATTTTTAACTTCCAAATTACACAATTCTATCATTTGAAAGTCAAAATGACTTGCATATTACACAATCCAAAAATCAAAAAATATGTTTAACTTAGGAAATGCGTAAGTCCTTTTTCAATTAAAAAAAATTCTAAATTACACAATGTACATCAATTTTTAATTTTGAACTGTGCAATCTAAAAATTTCGAATTGTACAGTATAAGTATAAAATTTTGTTTATAAGAAAATACAGGAAGAAAGTTATGAAGTTACTGGAAGAAACTATCATAAAAGACGTACAGCACGCTGCCAACAATGTGAAAGGTATTTAAAAGCTATTGAATTTTCTTTCATTCACCTTCAAATTTAGTCCATCTAAAATAATAATTGTTTAGTCATGACCAATGACATGGGTCCCCATTTTGGTAAACATTAATCAAGAAGTTTAAATATATATATTTTTTCTTATTTTAATCGATTCTGTTTAATATCATTTGTTTGAATGTTGATGTGATTTTTATTTTGATAGATTATATTTAATTTGATCTATTTTCAAGACATCATATAAACTATTAATGAAAGATTAATAAATTATTAATGAAAGATTAACCGCGTATCTTATGTGTCATTCTTAATTTTTTTTAATTTTTTAAAAAATAATATTTTTTAATTATTTTATTAAGTTTTTTATTTAAATATTCTTTTGGTTTAATTTTTGATTTTATTTAACGTGGAAATCAGATATTTAATTTAGTCTCTATTTTGATAAATTAGGTTCAATTTGATTCTTTTTCATGATGTAGTCTAAGTTATCAACGAAAGATGAACTTTATGATCATGTTGATTTTTTATTTTTATTTTTCAACTTTTATTCATTTTTTAAAATTTTCTCTTGATTTAAAAAAAATTATCTACTTCAAGTCAAACATTATGTTACGTTGCAATGCCAGCATCACATATCAAGTTTTCATATATCAAGTAAATATTAGTGCAACTATAAAACTCATTTTTGTCTCTTTCTAAATTTAATACAAATTTATTTTTTATTAAAACTCATTTTTATTAAATATTTCTTTCATTATTTTTAAACCAACTATAACTATATTATTCAAATATAATTATTTGAATTGATTTAAAAATAATAAAGAAATTTTCTTCTAATTTTAAAATAATAAAGAGTTTTCTTTCTAATTCTAAAATTAAATTAGTATTTTCCTTATAATTTAAAAATAAAAATTCTTTATTAATAATTTTATTTTTAATTATGTGTTAAGTTAGTGTTACATGTTACATATAAACATCCAAAATAATATAAGTCTCACACTAAACAATATAAACAAAAACAGAAACTAAAATAATATTTATCCCTTTTCTTATTTACGATTCAGTACATATTTTAGTTCCAAAAAGTTATCATGCGAATTTACAATCAATAGTTGATGCAGACAAAACTCTTATGTATTTATTAAGTTTACTGGTTGATATCATTGAACGTGATTTCTATACAACACGACATGAAGAATCCTCAATTGCACCTCTGAAATGTGTGGTCACGTTTCAGTTTTTATTTCTTTAAAAGTTATTTTTAAAATTCTAGAATTTAAACAAAATTTAGCTTTTTAAGAGGATTTAAATAAGCAGACCCATAATTTCCACAAAGTCTTTTCTCCCAATGACAACGCCTTTTATTCTATCAATACAACACTTTATACTTCATCGTGTAGTCGCTTATGTTTCGTAAAACAATGCATATATTGGAACTAAAAACAATAACACATACAAAATTTAGGTCTGCTAAAAGTTTTGAATTCAGTGTAAAGAATCATACAGATGTACATCAAACATTCAAATTATTATAGATTTCTTTTGGGGATGATATTTTTTTCTGAAAATAATTAAAACTATGATGTAAGAGATCAAACAACTGAACCATAACCACTACAGTTTTGAATTTTAAATTCAACTATTGTGATTTTCAAAACATGGACAAATGAAAACATTATGAAGGAAAATTGATTCAAGTGATAAAATTGTTCTTTTCATACAGATAAATTCCAGCAACCAACATTCCAATGATATTGACTTGGCAAAATGGCAACTTAAAAACGAAGGGCGAAATGCAGATTATATTTATACACATGAGAATGTTACTATGGAGCCTGTGTGAGAGAAAACCAACAAATGTTAATAGCAATAGATAATCCACTGTAGATCAAATACATTATATCAGGTATTATAATTTAACATCAACTTGATTAGAAATGGTACTAAACCTAAGGCATTAAATAGGAAATAATGCCAAGACAATGGATAAACCAGAACTCAGAATAATTACTTTTATTGTTTTTTCTAAAAGTAATTAAAGTAACATACACACACAATGAATAAGAAAACTAGGTCATGTTATCCTAATTCGTTTTCATTTAAAGTGGTGATTTTTTAACTCAAAAATCACCACATTCAAGATATCAAATTATGAATCCCTTTTACCAGCCAGAGGGAAAGAGAGATTCAGTTGTGAAATGTGCATTAGCAAATACCATAATTCAACTACAAACCTCAAATTTTTGGCCTCCAGTGCATGATCTCATCAGATTTCAATTCTGGGAATGAAGCACCAAAAAAAAGCTCCACATTCGTCCTGCTTAGCTACTAACAGCAAATTCCTTTACTTCAAGAATCATAATACACAAGCAAGAACTGGTCAGATATAAGATACACTTATATTTCCATATAAAAACCCAGCTTCATCTGCAAACGGAAAAGGCCAAAATGGCATTCAGTGTGCATCTCCTCAAAGCCTTTTCTTTTTCTCCATACCACTAATTCAAAGTTATGGAAGCATACCATCAGGGGAGAAAACCCTACAGGCCAGGGTTTGTCTCTAGACCAATTTCATTAACATCTATGTCTGCTATGTTCTCTTTCCCAAATAGAGTGAAATGCACAGTAGCCTGCAGGAAGAAGGCTATTTAAGTCTACAAACAAGTGAGAAAACTTTTTGGCATAATTATTTGACCCATAAATTGAAACGTTATTTACAGCTTGCAGTCAGTTTTATTTCATAACAGCATTCTAGTAATTTTAATCAGATAAATTTGCATGTATGTCCAGAATAGAAATTGCTATGCCAATTTAAGCTTGCTAAGGAAGAAGCTCACCATTTTAGTTTTTCGATTCAGCTTCTTGAGGGTGCCTGTAAACCCTGAAAAGGTTCCAGATACAACATGAACAGTGGAACCTGGAACAAGGAGTTTATATTTGTTTCGATTAGAAGAGGCCTCTTTGACTGTGACCTGATCAGAAGTTTTCCTATGCCTCCTTTTAGATTTAGAATCAACAATAGCATTCAAAACATCATCGGGTTCTAATTCTGTATTACGAATCCCAGAGACTAGAGCTGCTCTTTTCTCTTCTTCCTCAAAAGCTTGGTCAGTTTTTTCTTGTTCTTCTTTTGCTTGTCTGAAGATTGCATCCACATCTTCAGCAGATAATGGCTTAGGTCTATTGATCTGTCTCTTTCTGCAAAGTGAAAATAATCAAGAGTTTTTAATCATACTAAACAGGAACAGGGAAATATATGCATTAGAGACGTTGGATTTTAGATATTTTCAACATCTGAAATCATTAATTAGAACTTAAAACGTATACAGCACACTTAAAAGGCACCAACAATTTGTAATCTTAGAAAGTGTTAGCTACTCAGCTCATCATAACTTGATCAGGAATAGGTGTAACTTCTCAAAAACAATATAACATTGTTATGATCAGTTTACTCATAAACACTTGAAGAAAACTAGAAGAATGAAATAAGCTTCACCCATAAACTAAAATTAGTTTATAAATATGTTTTTTTATCAGATTCACCACTGCATAAGTAAAATCAGCTTTTTAGGGAAGTTAAAATCATTTAGCTTATCCCAAAAAAAAAAATTATTTTAACTTATGCATAAGTTAATTTTAACTTTGAGAAAGTTCTTTTCTTTTTCTTTTTACTTTCTTCTCCTTTAATGGAGGAATTCATTCCATTTTTCCTTATTTTTTAAGTAAAATGGAGAAAATTTATTCAGAGTCTTCATGTTTCAAACTTTCTCAGCATAGCGTAACTTTAAAAAACTATACTTCAACATTGATTAACTTGTCAAGTAAACAAAGGGAATTAAAATAGACATTTCATTCAGATGGTTTCTTGTGAGGAACTGTTTTCCAGATTGTAGTCATTTCTCTTTATCATAACTAATAGATTGAAGACATCTTGCCTTGCACAAGAACCCAACCTTTCATGCAAAGATTTAAAACAAAATTCTAAAAGACAGAAGGCAGAAGCAACAGATGCTTACGTGTTTCCAACTGTTGAACCAATAAATCCTCCAACACCATCATACTCTCTTATGAAGTCATGTAATTCTTTGTTCATCACACATCTCAAGAAAACACATCCTGGGAACAATTGTCTTGGTTTAACAGAGTAGGAACCATTCTTCAATCTCCTTTTCTCATTGACGGATGGAACATATATCTAAAACCATACACTACAACATCAATAAATAAAATAACCTGATATGAAACATTACTTGTCACTCCTCAATTTAACTTTTATTTTCATCTTCATCTACTAAGCTGGTGCTAATGTTTGCCACAAACACCAACAACTACCATGGCCAATGGCCACTCTCTAAAACTCATTCAAACAAACAAATGAGCCTAGAAACAGTTTTTATAAAAACTAACTGCAATCTAAGAACCACTTGTTCAAGCTTAAATCTACAACGCAGCATGTTTTAGCTATTATTCTTAGGAGAAACTTTGATACATTTCTTTAAGCAGTTTGTGGCATTCGCTGATAAGAATGAGATTCTCATTTTAATAGTCTGTGTAATAAAGGTCCACATTAAACATCAACATATATTCTACTGAAGTGAAAATCCAATTTAAATTAAAGAGCACACAGATAGCACTTAACTATATCTAACTTTTATCGTTATTTTTAACCCTAGGAATATGTTTGAGAAACTAAATTTGTTAAAAACACATCAACAAGTACGTATTTACAACCTTAATTATGAAGCTTATTGAAAGTATCGTGTGAGTTTTGAGAACTTATTTGAAGTCAGGTATGCAACTTAAATATGTATTTAAAAATCAAACCTACTGTTAGGATACAAGGTATATGAGAGAAGAAGGTATAGGAGAGAAGGAGAAGGCCGAACGGTGGAAGCGGAGAGAGGTCAGGCCGAACAGTGGAAGCGGAGAGAGATCAAGCCGAACGGTGGAAGGCGAAGAGAGCTCGAGCCGAACGGTGAGAAGCAACGAAAAACTTGGGCCGACCGGTTGAGGAACGACTATCCTACCTGTTGTAGCAGTTAGGATAGGCGGGAAATATTTAGTATATTTAGAGTAATATTCTAGAGAAATATTTAGAGCGATATTCTAGGGAAATATATTCTAGGGAAATATTTTATTTAGGGAAATATATTCTAGGGAAATATTTTATTTAGGGAAATATATTCTAGGGAAATATTTTATTTAGAACAATATTCTAGGGAAAGATTTGGCACAAGATGGGTGGGATACAATTAGTATAAATAAAGGGGAGTCTATTGTTAGGGTTATGCTTTTGATTATTGAGTCTTGTGACATACGGCTATGCTCCTCTGAGGGAGGTTATGCTCCCAAGTAATTGAAGGAGGTTATGCTCCCAATTACCCTTGTTTACTTTTGTTTATTCAGATATTACCATCAATAAAAGAAATTCATTCGTTCATTATCATTCATTGTCTTTTCTATCTACTATGATAGTGTCTTATTACATGTCCTATTCGGGTACGTAACACCTACTATAACTTCAAGTTGATTAACACAGTAAAACAGTGTATATACATGAAATTCTTAAAATGAACTTCCGAATCCAACTCATGAATATCATTAAATATACACTTAAACCTTTAAGTACTAAAACATTCTTTTCAAGACTTTAACCTCCTTTTATAAATTGTTATAATTATAGTAAATTCTTTAAACATATTTTGTTATCTCTGAAGCCAAGTTTCGGGTTGTTGATGAAGAAAAAAAAACATTAACAGGGGAGATTCCCGAAAAGTGGTTAGCCAGGTTCTCAAACAGAGTCAACAAGGCCCATAATACTAGTACTGATAAATTCCAAATCAAGGATTAGGGAAACAGATCACTATTAACAATTTTCAACTACTTAAGAAAAACTAGAAATTGCAGAAGATCAGAAGACGTTAGGATCATGAATGATTGATAAGTCAAAGAAGATTCTTTATTTTGAATTAACAATTTAAAAATAAGAAACAAAAGTTACACTCAGTAATCTGGATAAAATTTCTATCAGATAACATAAACTTCATCAAAATGAGCCTAAAATTTTTGACAAAAGGTCAACATAAACACATACAATTAACCTATTAATTTTCTAACAGAAAATAATGCTAATAAAAGGTTTGCAATTAAAAAAATACACACACAAATACAAGGGTCCAATAGAAAAGTATACCATTTTTATTTCAATCTCAAGCTTTATTCATGATACTTTTTCCATGCATTCATGTGCCGAAGATATGGTTCTAATAATTGAAATAAAGAATCGTAAACATATTTATCTAAACAACAGTTACCAAATCCGAGAGAATGCAAAACACTTTCAAAGCAGATGACGAAACAGCAACAACATCCTTACCTTAAATTCCACATCGGGGTAGTTTAGAGCGAGGGAGCGAGCGAGGAGTTGCGCGATTTCGTGACCCCTAATCCTCAAAACACGAATGACCCACCATTGAGGACCCAACTTGGCGAGGTTGTCCAGGTTCAGTTCATCCATCCACGAACCTTTCTTCTTCGGCTTCTCGATGAGTTTCATCTCCACTTCCTCCCTCCAGTTGGCGCCGCTCTTTCTCTCTCTTCTCTCGCTCCTCTCGCGTCTCCTCTCGCGCGCGCTCACCTGAGAGAGGGACTCCAAGGAAGCTGAGAGGGTTAAGGATCTGTTTGGAAGGGAAGTAAAAGTGAGAGTGTGGAAGCGCAATGGATTCCATGGGAGAAACAATCCTTTCATGTCTTCTGCTACTGCCAAGGAAGGATAATACGAGGATACTCCTTTGCCTTTTCAGTTCTCCTGTTTTATTGTGTGAAAAATATAATAACAATTACTAAAACTTAATACCACATTTTATCACACAATTACTATAAATTAAAATTTATTATCCAAATTTATATTTCGCTCATTTTATTATCAATCATTTTCAATTAGTTCACCCTGTAACTTTAAAATTCAACAATTTAAGATTTGAAATACATTTAATAAACATAATTTAAAACACGAATACATCTATTTCAAAATATGTTTATTTTTTAAATATATCTATGTTTAAGAAAAAAACACATCAAAATTAAAATAAATAAAAAATAACAAATAATAAATTTTAAAAAATCAAAATAAAACAAATAAAAAGATTACAAAACTTCAAATAAAAAATAACAACTAAATATAATTACAATATTTTAAAAAATCAAATAAAAAATTTAAAAACAACAATCAAATAAAAAAAAATTCTTTACTTTAAATTATATTGATTTTTGTTATTTTTTAATAATTGTTTAATTTAATTTTAGTTGATTTTTTTAAATATTGCAATGGTATTTGATTGTAATTTTTTATTTAAAATTTTGTTAATTTTTTTTCTTTGTTTAATTTTGATTTTTCAAAATTTACTATTTGTTATTTTTTTATTTTATATTTAATATGTTTTTTTAATGTAAAAATGTTTAAGGAATAAATTATTTCGAAGTATGTTTATTCATTAAAACTACGTTTATTTATTAATTGTATTTCAAACTCTAAATAGTTGAATTTTTAATTGATTTTTGAAGGCCGGTGAAGAAATAAAAAAAATGCAATAAGTGAAGAGAGAATAAAAAAGTAAAAGAAAATTAATTTAATAAAAGTTAAATGTCATATTTGTAATTCTAGAAGTGTAGGATGAAAGAAGAGAGATGCAGGGTGATACACCCTTTCAATTAAATTTCTTAAAATTTTAACACCAACAGGATTTCACATTAAAAAAAATAGGAGAAAAAAATACAAAAACGTTAACCATTTATTAGATTAAGGCTTTTACTATCTGCACTTTCACAATTTCTTCTTGCAACTACTCAAATTTTCAGAATATTATTTTATCCTTATAAAAGTGATTAAAGTTATCTCAAATTTCTAGACCAAGATTTATGGAACAAAGTTACCAAACTATGTGAAATTTGTTTTGGAATAAGATTTTGGGAAGATATTTTTGAAACAAACTTTTCATAGTACATATAATGTATTTCGGAACAAGTCTTTTTGAACATCTTACATTATATATGTTACAAAGAAAAAGCTTTCCCGAACAAGTTGTTTTTCCATTTTCTCTCTTTTTATTCCTATGTAACGTTGTTCACTCTTTTTCTAGCTTTGTAGCAACAGTCATGATAGAAGAAACGATAACAATAATGGTGTTGTATAACAATAATGGTGTTGTAGGGTAGTTGTGATATAAAAAGGTTTAGAGAATAATTCTCATGTGTTATTTTAGAGATAGTGTGTCATTCAAGTTGGTGCATGGATATCATACATTCCCAACTTGAATAGAGATTCATTAAACACTCGTCTTGACACTCCTTTGTAAGAATATCAACCAACTACAATTATGATCTTACAAATGGAAAGAAAATTATTTCAACTTTAAGCTTCTCTTTGATGAAATGTCTATCAATCTCCATATGCTTTGTTCTATCATGTTGCACATAGTTGTGAGCAATTGTTATAGCCGACATATTGTCACATTACAAATTCATAGTTTCATTTAGTTTAAAGCTCAAATCTGATAGCACATTCTTAATCCACAAAAGTTCACATACACCAAGTGTCATGCCTCTAAATTCTGCTTCAGCACTAGATCTTGCTACTACAGACTGTTTTTTACTCCTCAAAATTACAAGATTCCCTCTTACAAAAGTAAAGTATCTAGAGGTAGATCTTCTATCATCTTTTGAACCTGCCCAATCTGCATCAATATACCTTTCTACCTTTAAGTTTCCATGATTTGAGAACAAAATTCATTTTCCATGAGTGGACTTCAAATATCTCAAAGTTATTTCAATAACATCTATATGAAGTTTTCGTGGGTCATGCATAAATTGACTAACAACATTCACTTCATAGGTAATATCTGGACGTGTATGGAATAAATAAATAAATTTTCTTACCAACTTTTGGTATGTCCTTCTGTCTATGTTTGCTAAGTTTGAGCTTTGAAAGAGTTTATGATTTTGTTCAATATGTGTATCAACTGGTTTACTCCCAAGCAGTCTAGTTTTCGATAGTAAGTTAATAGTATATTTTCTTTGGCATATAAAAATACCATGTTTTGATCTAGATACTTCAATACCCAAAAAGTATTTGATGTTTCCAAGTTGTTTCATCTCAAATTCAGATGCAAGGTATTGTTGCAAACTAGAAATCTCATCTTTGTCATTTCCTGTAACAATCATGTCATCTACACATATAATCAAAGCTGTAATTTTTCCTTTTCCTCTCTTAAAAAATAAGGTGTTATCAGAGTTACTTGCTCTATAGCTAAAAGTCTTCATAAACTTGGTAAACCTTCCAAACCATGCTCTTGGAGATTGTTTTAATCCATATAAAGCCTTCTTTAATTTGCAAACCTTCATTTCAATTGAATCTGTCATGCCTAGAGGAGAATCCATATAAATTTCTTCTAAGATTTCTCCATGTAGGAAAACATTTTTCACATCAAATTGTAGAAGAGGTCAATCTTGGTTTCCTGCTAGCGACAGAAGTATTTCTCACAGTGTTGAGCTTGGCTACCGGTGCGAACATCTCTTGGTAATTTACACCATAAGACTGAGTGTAACCTTTAGCCACAAGTCGTACTTTATACCTCTCATAGTTCAATCAACTTTATGTTTAATTGTAAATACCCATTTGCAGCCCACAATTTTCTTCCCTCTTGGTAAGGACACAATATCCCAAGTGTTGTTTCTTTCTAAAGCTGACATCTCATCAACCATTGCTTTGGTCCATCTAGGATCTGTCAAAGCTTCCTATATATTTCTAGGAATATAAATTAAAGATAATTGAGATACAAACGATGCATATGACTGGGATAACCTGTGAGATAACACATATTTACTAATGGGATATTTAACTTTGGCTTGGAGGTCTGGTTCATATTTAGCTACAGGTTGACCATGGTTAGAACGGGATAGAAGATTATATTAAACAGTAGTAGACTCAATGTTTGATGTGTTGGTGGTCTCACTTAAACAAGAAGCAATTTCATGATTGATTTCATCTAAATTAGTATTATCAAGGATAGGATCAAAAGGTACCTCTTAAGAGTCAAGCCAAACTTGTTGAAAAGATTGAGTTAATTGGTTATGATCAGAAGACACCATATTATCCAAAAAAAGAAGTGTCCATATTTAGGATTGACTCACTTCTTGCAAAATGATCCTCACACGATAATTTATTTTCACTATATAATTTTATATCTGAGATATCAAATATACTAACATCATGATCACTTTCATTGCCTCCTTGAAGTGTAGAATCAACATAAAAAAATTTATGCTCATTAAATGTCACATCCATAGAGATATAAAATTTCTTTGATGGTGGATGATAAGCACGATAACTTTTTTAAGTTGATCCATACCCAGCAAAAACACATTTGATCGCTCGTTCTTCAAGCTTTGTACGTTGATGTGGGAGTAAGTGAACATATATAACACATCCGAAAACATTAGGGCGTAAATAAACTATGGAAGGAAAGATACAATAATCAGACAACACATATAAAAGCCTTCGAAACTTAAGCACATTAGAAGGAGTTCGATTAATTAAATAAATTACAAAGCTCACAACCTCACCCCATAATGAGATGGGACATTACCATCTATCAAAAGTGATCTTTTCACCTCTAATATATGTTTATTTTTCCTCTCAGCCACACTCCATTCTGTTGTGGTGAATAAGGACATGCAGTTTGATGCAAGATGCTTAGAGTTTATGAACTTTGTTAATTCAGTCCTAAAATATTCTCCTTCATTTTCTGATCGAATGACCTTAATAAATGTATTAAATTGTGTAACAATCATGTGATGGAAGAAACAAACCAAATCACACACATCACTTTTATGTTTAAGAGAAAACACTCAGGTTACCCTAGCACAATCATCAACAAAATTGATAAGAAAAAGGGACATATCTGCCTACATACATATCTACTCTACTTTACTTTGTGCAAATTACTTATGTCAAGTATCCACATGCTCTATCAAATACAAATTAGAATTTTATGTTAGAGACAAAGAAGACATTCACAGAATGTTCTCTCTATCGAAATTCAAGCCAAAAAGTTCATACAACCTACTTTTGATAAAGAACTGAAAAAGCACGTATGCTCTAACAAGTTAACTTTTACCAATGGCTACTACCTATGACAAGGCTAAGAAGATCTGAAGATCAAAGCAAAGTATTATCTAGGACATTTTCTTAAAGCTATATATTGAAGAATGTTGAATAAAAGAGCAAGAGAATAAGCACACTAGAATGAAATAAAACATCTGAGAAGAAAAGCAAAGCTCAAAAGAAAAGAAAACACTCTTAAGCTTCATAGAATCAAAAGCTTATTGTTGTAAGAAGAGAGAAAATTCTGAGAGTCTATTAGATTGAATTGTATTATATACACATCCTCTCTAGGAGAGTAATAGTCTAAGAACATATAAGTGATATGTTGGATTGCAAATTCTGAAGAGAATTCAAACACTTAACGCTTAACTCGGTGGGGTAAAACGGTAGCTAAACTAGTTTGTCTAGTAGAAACCAGGAGTGAGTGAAACTCAACTAGACAACATATTAGGAAGATACCAAGATTGTCTAGAGATACGAGGAGTGGTGAAGAATACACCACAACCAGGAATAAATGATACTTTATTCTAGTTAGTGTGACAAATGTTACTTGGATTGACTGAGGAAATAGGAGTGGTACAAATAATTAACTAGTATGAGTAACAAGTGTTACCAAGATTGACTAGGGATACTAGGAGTGGTGAAGAATGTTGTA